TTATTATTTTTTTTTAAAAACCCTGTTTGCAGAAAGTGTCGTTTCATAACACAGTGTAATCTGTGAGTAGCGTTTGTGTATTTGTGTCTGAATGTGTAGGCATATGAGAGAGTCCTAATATTATGTGTCACTTTGGCTATCCATCAATGTGTCCTACCCACAAGTCCCCATGCCTGGGGTGTCATCAGATTCCCAACATCTCACTCATCCCTCCAGCGGGTCGTGTGCTACCATGACGCCTGACTGTCTGTCGTTAATCGCCACCGCAGCAGAGCTGGACATTCCGTATGATAAACTGCCAGGAAGCTGTCTCCTTCTCACCCATCTTTCTCTCTCCACCTCTTTTCCTGTCCCCCACACTGTTTCTGTAAGCCGACCACCTTCTCTCTTTCTCTCTCTCTCTCTGTCTGTCCCCTGACTCCCCTTTATAACTTTCACCTTCGATCAATTCCCTGCCTCTCACTTTCTCTCTCCCTCTCAGTCCTTGAACATGAACTCTCATGTTTTACGGTGCACAGAATAAAAGGGAAAGTAATGTCATATATCTGTACGACTGAAACGTCTGCTAGCTTTATATAGAGCAACAGCACTCATAACTTAACTAGCAGACCGGAATGGACTGGGACAGGGAGAAAATTAGGATAAACAGCAGATTATAGGAATTGATTTTTTGTTTACATACATTACTATTTTAAATAGAAAGTGCTGAAACACCTGTCTCTCTCTATCTATTTGTCCTTGTTTTCATTCTCTGCAAACATGGCACCCTGCCTGACTAAGCTCCATACTAATGAAATCTGATACATGCTGTCTTGCTTTCCTTCTCCCTCCTTAACAAACACAAATGATAGAAGCATCTGTGTCTGTTTCTCTACCCATTTGTCCGCATTTCAAAAACTGCTTATGCCATTTCTGACACGGCTAGTGAATTTATTGAGTCGGTGCATTTGTGTGAAGGCCTGTTTACACGAAGAACAATAACTATAAAGATAACTAAAACGATAACTGTTTTAGCGTCCACTCCAACACATGATAACATTCAGTTTTTTCTAAGCATGTGCCGTTTTAAAAGCTGTTTAAAGTCAAATAGATTCAGTCAATGTTTTTATCATTTATCAGCTGGAAAGAAAAAAAAAAAACATTCTGAAAAGTGGTTCCAAAAATACCATTCATCTGATCCGTTATACTGTGGACTTCCTTATTTTCATATATTTAGAATGATTATTAAAACTTTATAGTTAGTCATCATTATTATCATTAATGTGAATGACCCTTAACCTTACAAAAGTCTGTTAAACATGGCTGTTTAGCTACTGTGAGTAACCTAACCACATTTTGTCTGTCTAATGTTTGCAGCCTAGCCAGGTTTTTGACATTTTCTGGCCAAGAACTCCCCAAGTGGCCATCTGATATGTAAAATGACCAACCACTGTTTGTTTTGGTTTATCTGATATAGATGAACGGTTGTACAGGAAACAACCATTTATTAATGGAAATTTTTGCATACATTGAGATTACAATTTCTATTCACCCAAAAGTAAGAAGTATTGATTTTTTTCACAGATAGAAATCTGCTTGAAATATTTAGTTTGCTTACTTCTATGTGAATCCAGCAAAACTCTGAACAGCTTTCAAAGATGTGAAGCAACAGACATCACAAACATTTGACAAATCCAGTGATTAGTTATTCCTCACAAATGTTCATAATTTCAACCTGGTACCTTTTAAATATCTGCCAGAATTATAAAAAGATGCAAAGTTAGGTTGCAGTCACTCAAAGCAAACAATGCTTTCTCAAAAGCATTGTTAGCCAGCTCAGCTATGGCCGCAAATTCTATTCTTACAAATATAGTTCAACAAGTCAATGTTTTCCAAAATCATAGTTCCAATGCGAACTCTTTGGTTGGAACTCGACCTGAGGTTAGAAGCATAATTTCTTGCAAGTATGAAATATGGACTTCAATATATCATGCTATTAAAGAAAAAAAGCAAGCTAATATACAGTACATTCTATATATTTAATTCCATTTAAATTATATATACATTTCAGTCTAAATATTTTAGCCTCAGCTTTAATCAGCACTGTTTTGAAGAGTCTGTAATGTATGTGCATACATTTGTATGAGAATGAATCAAACATCAAGCAGCAAAATGACAGGTAACAAATATAGTTAAGAAGTCCTTTTTTATTACAGTAGCATCTCAAAGAAATTACGTTGTGGAGAAAGCGGCTGACTAAATGAACCATAAGTGTATGCCAATTATATACTGCATATTAATGTGTTGTTTGTGTAAATGAACTGCAAAAAATCTCACATTAATTGTCATTTTTTAATTGATTAACAAGCTAAATTAATTTCTCCACCACCTGTGTTTAATGTAATTAATGACAGTCCTATATTGGTAAACTAAATGATAAACTCAACATATGTAACAGTTAGCTGTGAGTTGCGTTGTTGTATGGGAAACACACCCCTGATTGGACCTTAAAGTGTTCATAAGTTTTTTTAGCATTTAGTGTCATGCCACCCATGACATTCCCATCATGCTCTTATATTAA